CAGCCCTGTGAATACATGGACGAAAATGTTTCCACCACCACCTACGAACTCAAGATTGCATACTCCAGCATCCATACTTTGAATAATTTACACGCCGCACAGTGCATTACTGGAAACAGCATTTATTAGACAGTTAGACAAAAAACAAAACAAAATGCCTGTCTCGATCAATCGCACATCCATAATGTTTGTATGATGATACGCTTGTAAATAACATTAACGTAAAAGTCGAAACAACCTAGACTAGAAGTCAATTCAACAGTCCAGCCAACTATGGCTCCCTAAGTTGCTTATATTTAATCAGATACTATTTCGTCATCATGCTTTGTTACCTTACCTGTTTATACTGCATGAGGGCGTTTTTTTATGGCAAGATGGCGCAAACGGAAGTCGCAGGTTTATGGTTTCTCATATTTAAATCATCATAACTCTGAAGATAATCATTTTTTTTTCAAATTTATAATCAATATACATAACTTGATAAATACAAACACCAAAATAGGCTCTATTTAGTTCTCCTTTAACTAATAATGCGAATTAGGCAATTAATATCTACAATTATTTACCCTAAAACTAATCGGGTCTCTGCATAGTCCTAGGGGATCTATGTAGCAAGTCTCATTGAAATATGATGATCAGTACTTGAGTTATCAGGCGAAAAACTCAAAATTAACTAATTATGCTAATAAGGTGATTAATATGCACAAATATTTACCCCAAAACTAATCAGGTCTCTGCACAGTTCTTAAGTAACTATGTACCAAGTTTCATTGAAATGTGATGATTACTAATTGAAATATCAAAAGCTGAAAATTAATTAATTATGCAAATCAGGTAATTAATACGTACTGATATTACCCTAAAACCTATCAGGTCTGTGCAGTGTCATATGACATCTATGTACCAAGTTTCATTGAAATGTGATGATTACTACTTGAAATATCAAAAGCTGAATATTAATTGATTATCCAAATTAGGTGATTAATATGTACTGATATTACACTGTAATCTATCAGGTCTGTGCAGTGTCCTATGACATCTACATGTATGTACCAAGTTTTATTGAAATGTGATGATTACTACTCGAGATATCAGTGGAAAAGCCAAAAATTGATTAAACATTATGCAAATTAGGTAATTAATATTGCTCATATTTTTACCTAAAACTGATCAAATCTGCGTATTGGCCCAGAGCATATATGCACCAAGTTTCATCAAAAATTAATGTGTGGTTCTTGAGATATCAGTGGAACAGACAGACAGACAGACACACACACACACACAGACACACAGACATACACACTAACTACTAAGACTCCCTTTTTGTGCTTCGCACACGGGATTCAAAAACAATTTTCTTGGTACATTCTTGCATATTAAATGAGGGGTTCAGACACATTCCAAGCGGAACACTTTTCTTGGACTAATAACAAAGCTGGTCAATCCTTTCCCAGCAATAACCAGAAAACAAGTTGCACACAAAGTATCAGTAATCAGTATAACATTTGATTCCAACACCGTAACAAAGCTGGCCTCCATCTCACATTACTATTTCAATATACTATTGAAGGACAAGCAAGCCTGCTCTTTAAATTCATGTACAACATATCTGTAAATTTTAAAAAACAATTTGACATGATTGACAACAATCATAGAATGGACACTGTGGTCATATAAATAAATTTTGACCTTAGTTATTGGGAGCATTTCAACTTCATTTATTTGGAACAGTTCTGTGAGTAAGCATGGAAAATAAACACATTGAGAGGTGTAGTAACTCCACTATGGCCTTATATGTGTACCACGTGTAGAGGTTGACACGTTTTTGGTTTGCACTCTACAAACTTTGGTTTGATCCCCCTAAAAATGGCCACTAGTTGGCCATTTCAAATTTAATTTGCATCAAGATCCCAATATGTATAATGGACATACCAAATTTGAATAAAACATGTCCATGCTCTACTGAAATCCATTTTTGAAATGACAGAAATGTTTTGACGAATATTTAACCCTAAAATGGCTGCCACTCGACCATCCTGAACTGAATCATGAAACAAATGAATATTCTTATGTAATACATGTATATGTGTGATGTGAAGTCTCCCTTACCTGGATTCACCTCAGGTGGTTTAGTTGGTGAAACTACAATAGGTTTACTACTAGAAACTGGACTGGAGAATGGACTGAAATTCCGACTTACTGCATAAGAAAAAAGAAATTTATTATCAGATATTATACATCTGTCACCGTAATTTTGAGGTATTGCACTGGGTATTTTCATCCTACCATATTAGGAAATGTGAATTCCAAATATGAACAATTACGCATGTGAGTGTCCTATAAATTAAAAAAACAAGACATGACATGACATGTCATAGCCCCGGCTCAGTAAAAAATTAAAAACTTATATTGAACTGGGTTTGTGTCAGAGTGAATTAATTCATTATGAGCTGTATTTACATTCCGTTATTAAATGTTCAGAATTGATGTGTTACAATTTTAGGGGGTGGGGTAAAAATTTATTCATTTGGCTTTTCTGAGACAATTTATAGCTTGTTAAACATATAATGCGATGTGCAATTGTAAACAATTATTACCTGTCCCTGTACCAACTTTGAACAAAACTGGATGACACATATCTGAGAAAAAGCTGTTAACAGCTAGAAAAAGCTTGTTTTTTTTAGATTTTTGAGGGAAAAAATGGCCTCCAAGTCGTAAAACTTTATCCAATTAAACAGGTCATGAATGACACTGAAAGTTGCAACATATAATTTGTCCAGTTTTTGGCATGGATGTAAATTGGCAAACATGATTTCTATGGCATTCTCAGCAAGAACACCAGAGAGCAACAAACAAGTACAACAGGTAAAATGACATGCAAGTATGCAAATCAGATCTGCAAATATGTTGAAGAGTCAGTGTTGTGTCTGTTTGGATAAACTTCCTTGTACAACTGTATTCCTAATACAAGAACACTGTCAATCACAGAACTGTTCCAGCGAAAAACTTCTGATATTTTAGTCAGTAACAGGGTAAAGATACTGTTTGTCATACAAGTACTAGCACCAGATGAGGAACTGAGAAACTGCAATGATCCTTGGTGTACATTACCTGTGTCAACAACTTTACTTCCCATGTAGTTCATGTACAGATCTACATGTAGTTTGTGGCCCTTAATAAGGACAAGAGTACTTCTCATATGACAATGATACAAAAAAAGTGCAAGAATCCAGAAAAATATTATCAAGTTTTTATTATCATACATTAATATTAACAAATCGTGTGAAATTGAACTTTTATGTACAGAGAAACACATATTTATGCTTTGGTTGACAGCACTTCTCAAAAAAAAAAAAAGACGACCTGCAAAACTTTATACAATTGTCAGACATGCAGCAAATAGTATGCTTTTGTAATATATGCAGTTTCAGTGGCTTTGCTTTCCGAGAAAAAAATTCTGGCCTTGCACCTGAAAAAAACAAAAAAACATTTAGTCAAAAGTAAGCAGAGGTTGTAGCATATATGCTCCCATTAGCTGTTAAATTTAATTAAAAAAGATATTTATGCATCATCTTTTCAGTACGAAAACATATTACTTAAAGTGCCTGTGCAATGCCCACCCTCACGTTTCCCATTTTAGATCTGTGTCCCACTGA